AGCCAGTCGTTTATCGCTCCTCGTCCCGAGTGATCGAGTCTTAAAGGGGGCTTCTCTCCCTTTAGGAGAAATCCAAATTTCTTAGTGATCGCGAAATTATTGAACTACTAGTGGAAAATGTTCACAAAATCGATCTACCTTCGCGTTTCGTCCCATATAGTAATTCGTTTAAGTCGATACTATGCATGGTAACCTATCGAATTAATAGTAGATAGCTATCGGGCGTGTTTGCGTAGGGATACTGCATCCTTAAATCGAGAATAGTGTCTTTTCTTACATATAAGGGATCTTCAATATTTTATTTCGCCTTTCATACCGGCCCATTAATTTATTTCTCTTCAATTCTACATAAACCTCTTATTATTTATCCAAGAGTGAAAGACGGTAGACTAATTGAAAGTAACGCCACATGGTTTCGTTGCCGGTGATGAAGTCGTTAGTTTACCGATGAATTCATATATTAATTTAAGCAACGAATATTTTTACATATAATTGTAAAATCTTAATCAATTACTATAAATCGAATAATCAATGCAAAGTCATTCATACTAATGTTGCTAAAATTCCGACAGTAAAATTTATAGTTCTGATAAAATGATAACTTTCTAAATCTGAAAACGTGTAAACATCTAAATATTAAATTGGTTAGAACTTCGAAGCCGATTAAATACATATAATAAATTGAATCAATCTTTTGATTCCAAATAAAAACTTCAATTTATTTTTACGCCTGATAAGGACTGCATAGCGTCGTCCTCATAATAAAAACTAAAAGAGATGAAAGATAATCCTTCAGATTATTCTTTTATTGATAATTCTTAGATTATGTTTCGAGAGTATTAAAATTAAAATATGAAAGTTGTCCTCCGACGCTGACAACATCTCCGGACATAACAGAACATAGAAGTAGCATGGGGAAACCACAGAAAACCCATGCCGGTACGGGCGGTTCCTCTATTAGCAACCTCCCGCTCGCCGGAGCCTTCCGTTGAAAAATTCGGTTCCACGGGAAATCGAACTCACAACCTTTCGTACATTAGACTTGCGTCTAATCACTCGGCCACCGACGTCGGTAAATATATATTTTCAAATAGTATTTCAAGGACTCTAAAACAGATATGAAAGCTGTTGATTATAACGAAATCTGGTGAAGGTTACACGGACGAAAAATTGGCATGGAGTCCGGTCTTACACGCCAGTTTATCAATATTCATTCATTTCCATCAGCATTACTATTCTGAATGCATCGAATGTACACATAATTTGCCGATGGGTTTCATCACTAGAGTATTTCAAGACCACGGATGGTGAAAATAGTATCTGATTTGTGGAAGCGATGGTCGTGGCATTTTCAAATTTTAGCTGGATTTCGCTGCTCATCGATTCCTCTTCTAGTCACAAACTGCTGTCGTCACAATAATGATGGATCTAAATATCCGTCATGATGCATATCAAGTAACGTAACAGGAATCCAATAAATGTTAACTAGATTGGTTACCACTGAATCCCCCCAAAATTACCTCGACTCGATGAACCAGTTTTCGAGATGTTTAATTGGCAATGTCTCCAACAGCTGACTGACCTTTCCGATTCTGCGACAGACATCTGATGGATCGTCGATTTACCCAGTATGATAATTCGTTCAATACTTGAATGCCTCTTTTTGACTACTGAAACATTATTCATCCGTGAGGCAAACAGGATTCATTCCGGTTGGCTTTACCTTTGGGGAATTGATACAAGATACATGCTCAGCTAGGTATAAAAGATCTGAATTCTGCCGAAAACAGCGTCAGTCTTCAGTGCACATCTTCTCAACAAGTTCACGGTTCGGAAGGACGTAATACCCAGCCATGAATAAATTCGTAAGTACCACCACAGTTGGTTATGTTCCTGCAGATCACTTCTCTTTGATTGTCATTGCAGATCGTTCTCTCCGCTGTCTTCGCGTGTGCCTTTGCAGCACCAAAAGCAGGATTTCTCACCGGTGAACATCCGGCTCCAGTCGTAACCGGTGAAGTTATCGACACTTACTCCTCGCCCGTCCTCACAAGCTACTCAGCACCAGTTTTCAAGACCGTTTCCGCACCTATAATCACTAGCTACTCAGCGGAGACCCTCTCGTCTCCTCTGTACAAGACCTTGGCTGCACCAGCAATTACGAGCCACTCTTCATCGTTGGTGAGGGGAGTCGCTCATCCAACAATTACAAGCTACTCGACACCACGTTTCGTATCAAGCTACTCGGCACAACCTCTGGTCTCAAGCTACCCACCATTGGTATCGAGCTTCACTTCCCCATCCCTCGTTTCAAGCAACTCTTCCCCTTCGCTAGTGTCACCTTACACTACTCCGGTGGTTAAGACACTTTACTCTTCCCCGATTGTTCATCAGCACACCACCACTGTCTTGTAGATGATCTAATGACTTGTTGAATACTCTCTTGTGCGAATTGTAACAGCTTGCTAGATAACCAATAAATTATCATGATGTAAAATTTTCATTGCACTATTAAAAGCCATTAAAGACCATCGATCTATCCAGTGTGATAATTCATTCAATACCTGAATCCCTCTTTTGACTAATGAAACACTATCACTGTCTTGTAGATGATCTAATAAGGTGATGAATTGTGTACATTATCACAGTTCTCTTGTGTACATTATCACAGCTGGGTGGATAATAAATAAATTATCGTCACTTAAAATGTCCATTACACGGAAGTTATTTGAAGGATACTTTTTCTTTTCAATTCTCGCGGGACGGAGATGATACGGGGAGACAAAAGTTGGGGAAAATGATCAAACAAATCATGGAATCGTGGAGTGAAATTTAGTTCTAATGTAAGTGCTTTTTTAATGCAACTTGCTTTTTCTTCAATACATTTATTTTCTCCACCAATGTTTTCATTGGCAAAGAAATGCGCAATTATTCTAGACTTTTGAAAGGCAAAAAAATATTTAAAAAAGAGAAGAAAAACGACGGAAATATTATTTGCCGCTCGGGGTGGAAACCCCCTGTGATATTCAAATATTTTCTGTGGAAAGAGTTACTTTGACGAAGAACAAAAAAGGTCTGTCATTAAGTGGAGAAACCACAAATAAAAAAAAGTGCAGAATCCGAAAGAACGAAAAATTTCAATTGTAACTTCTATTAAAGAACTAAAAATATGTTTTGACCTTTTTAAAATCCCAAAAACTCGAGACAATTTTTCCAACTTTATAATGAAATGATAACTAAAAACGATATAACGGGATACAAATGCGGAAAAGTAGTTGCAGGAGGTGTGTACCGCTGAGAGACTATTTTTTCCACGAGTATCGAATTCTCTTTCTAATCACCGTGCATCACTTCGGCCACAGCTCGATCAAAAAAAAAACAATTCGCAAATTTTAATTCAATTATGAAGTTATTTTAAGCATTAGACTATTTATTTATATGTATTCATATAAATGTGGTTTTTGACGTGTAGGAGGTATGTACGGCTCAGAAACCATTTTTGCCACGCGTATCGAACTCTATTTCATCACAATACGTCACTTTAAACACAGTGGGATGAAAAAAAAAATTATACGCAAATTTTTCTCCAATTATGACGCTATTTTAAGTATTGGATTATCTATTTATAGCAATTTGTGTTTTATAAAAAAGTAGTGTGGGTATACTTTTAAAAGATAAAACAGCTGGTTAAATCTAAACACTTTAATCGAAATATTTTATTTACAATTATTATTTTACGAACACCAAGAAAAACGGCTAAATCGTCTAATGCCTCTGATGAGGATTTCGTCTACTTCTTCGACTTCAATATACGTCTAATCGTTCCCGCCAATGAACTGCCCTCCTCGTTGTACCCTCATCCCTTAAATGCACTCCTTCGGTCCCTCCTATAGCGTCCATCCCCCACTACTACGCACTTTCTGGGCCTCACTCGCCATTTCCATATTTGGAAGTTTTCTCGAAACGTGGCAGCGTGGGTCAGCTAGGGGGTCGTGCGTCATCAATGAGGGTGCTACGGCGTTACCGTAATAAAACTATAAAACTCTACGTCTAGACTTAATCCTACCTTAATAAAATATTTTCCTTAACGTCTGAAATACTTTACAATGTAACTACCCTCGCGTAGTTCCCCAACGTCTAGGCTATCTATAACTAAACTGTACACGTAATTCCCCACGATCGAGACACCTAAAATTTTCGTTACTACAGTAGTTTTTCACGTGTGGCAGATGTATACGGCCCAGAGACCATTTTTCCCACGAGTATCGAACTCTATTTTTCATCACAATGCGTCACTTTACACACAGCACGATGAAAAAAACTGTATTGACAAATTTTGATTTAATTATAACGATATTTTCAATATTGATACTTCACTGCCCAATTAACAATTGAAAAATTCGTCTGGGTTGTTGGTCGCTCGCTTCACTCGCTCCCATTCCGAGTGGGTTGGAGTGGGTGTGACCCATTATACGGGTCGAACCAATCACTTCGCGACCAATTACCTTTCCTTCATTCATTAGAATTAAATATTTTTATACAACTTATTCTATTGAGATATTCTCCATTGAATTTCCGCAGCTCAAATTTTCCAAGTTTTTTGGTCTGATTTTCTTAATGAAAAAAACCGAAAAATAGAATGAAAAAAAATAATAATGAAAAACATTGACCTATATTGAAAAATCTTTGAAAAGTTTCAAATTTCAAAAGTTCATGGTCGAATTACTCCGAAAACACTGAGACGATTTCGCAGGAATTTCACTTCAGTCTTAATCATACAAAGTTGCATCAATTATGATGACAAGAAATCAATCTCATCATTTCTCTAAGAGAAATCATCAAATTTGTAAAAACATCATTTTTCATCATTTTCATCCTTTTTCGACGTTTTTTCACAAGTTTTCTTGCAAAATCTAAAGAACCGCCGAGGCGATATTGTTCAGAATCTAATCAGTTTTAAGTTACATCAAAATACATCGATTGCGTGAAAAAAAATTGAATCGCATCGTTTGTTCGAGAGAAATCGTAGCACAAATTTTGGTCACATTCACGCACACACATCCACATATATAGACCGGTCTCTAAAAAGTGTTGGGAGAGTTTCTAGGGATCACCAAACGTGGAGAAAACATGTCATTTCCCCAATCGATTTTCGGGGTAATTACAATAACTTCCTTTCGGGTTGGGAAGTTGATAACATAAACAAGAACTATTTTTTTTTTATCGTTATTTTACATCACTTCGACCCGGTTAGGGTATACTGCGATGATGATCAAGACTTTGAATGGTTAGATCGCACCATTGTACCCGGCCGGGATTTGAACTCGGAACCTTTCACATGTGAGGCAACGAACTTACCCACTGCGCCAAGCCACCAAGGTAAACAAGACCTATGGAGGATTCTCTGTCCACTCAACCACCCGTTTCCATCATAGTCTCTAAAAATTCTGAAAAAATTCCAGGATGTTTTTATACCAAAAAAACTTTTTCGTGAATTTTTTTAGATTTTTTGGGCAATTAGGTAGATGGATATATTCAATTTTTAAAAATGAATTGTTTCCTACTGCATTTAATACTCAAAAAATTATTTTTATAATATTTTTATACATGAAATTTGTATTTTTTCCTCAGCTTTCCAATAAAAATATTTTCAGATTTTTTTTACCTATTGAAGTGCCTTTTTCGCTCAAAAAACCTGAAAATCTCTCTAAAATGCCGTTTATAGGTCTTCGGGCAATTTTGATTGTCAGAAAAAAAATTGAGAATACTCCTTGTATGTATACAATGCGTAAAAAAATGCACGAAAGTGGGTATTCAATTCCTACACCCTTAAAAAAATTGAAACTTCGTCAATAAATTCATTTCATTCGTAAAATAAATTTGAGCGTTCACTACATCAATATTTTTTTATATTCAGGAATAAAACCATATAATTCAGCAACTATTGACTGCGAAGACTTCAGTTAATGTCCAACAGGGATGCTTTGTTGTTGGAACAAAATGAAATAAGCCCTGTCTATGAAGTTTACAACGAAAAATTATGAAAAAAATCTATCCATCGTCAAAATTTTAGAGAAATTCGTTGAATCAGTTAATATTGACTGATTCTATGAATTTCTCTGAAATTTTGAGTAAACTAATTATGGAGATTGATCAATTCTCTCATGCCCACGTAATTGGTCAATTGGGGTAAATTTTTTTTTCAAATTTACGATGGAAAATTAGAAAAACAATATATATTGTTTTTCTAATTTTTTCCATATTTTTCATTGTAAACTTCATAGACATGGATTATTCAATTCTTTTCCAACAACACAACATCCCTGTTAAACGTTTGGTGCAGTCTCTTCAATCAATAGTTGCTTAGTTATATTGTTTTTTTCCTAAACATAACAAAATAGTAATGTAGTTAACGCTCGAAGTTATTTCATGAATAAAACTAATTTATTAATCAAGTTTCAATTGTTTTAAGGGTGTAGGAATCGAATACCCACTTTCGTCCATTTTTTTACGCATTGTATACATACAAGGAGTATTCTCAATTTTTTTTATGACAATCAAAATTACCCGAAGACCTATAAACGGTNTCGAAGTTATTTCATGAATAAAACTAATTTATTAATCAAGTTTCAATTGTTTTAAGGGTGTAGGAATCGAATACCCACTTTCGTCCATTTTTTTACGCATTGTATACATACAAGGAGTATTCTCAATTTTTTTTATGACAATCAAAATTGCCCGAAGACCTATAAACGGTATTTTAGAGAGATTTTTCAGGTTTTTTGAGCAAAAAGGGCACATAAATAGGTCAAAAAAATCTGAAAATATTTTTATTGGAAAGCTGAGGAAAAAATACAAATTTCATGTATGAAAATATTATAAGAATATTTTTCTGAGTATTAAATGCAGTAGAAAACAATTCATTTTCAAAAATTGAATATATCCATCTACCTAATTGCCCAAAAAATATAAAAAAAAATTCACAAAAAAGTTTTTTTGGTATAAAAACATCCTGGAATTTTTTCAGAATTTTTTGAGACTGTGATGGAAATGGGTGGCTGAGTTGACAGAGAATCCTCCATATGTTGAAAGCATTTTAATAATGAATTTCAAATAATTGAACAGCCCGAGTGAATGTCGACAGAACCCATATAATTTTATACATTATAAAAAACACTCTCCTGTCGGAAATGTGTCAGCAGATTTCCATGTAATTATAGGGATATGTTAAATATTAATTCTTCACTGCCCAATCAACAAATGAATAAAAAACAATATAAACAGGAACTATGTTGAAAGCACTTTAATAATGAATTTCCAATAATTGAACAACATGAGTGAATGCGGACAGAACCCGCATAATTTCACAAACTATAAAAAATACTCTTCTGTTGGAATAGGTGTGATGTGCAGAA